CCAGGTTTTATAAAATGGTGCGGGCCAAAGAGTCACATTATTTTTTATGCCTTTGTATCGAAAATACAGATTGTTAAAAAAAAACATCTAAACTCAAATCCTATAATAAACTAAGCTAAGTGCAACAGTACATTTTACTGTGTATCAAACGGTTCACCACCAAAAAAAAAACCCGCCCTGATCTGTTTAACTAAGCATCAATTCTTGAGAAAGTAAAAAAAAAAAAAAATAATGATTAAAAATCACTGACGGCTCCCCTGTAAATAGAAGGCTAGCTACTTCAAGTAATTTCTTTTGAAATCGGATATCTGAATATTCAACCAAGGCAGAGGCTCCACTCTGTATGAGCGGCGTTAATATGATCTCAACAGAGTTTGCTACTCGGAAATATTAGCATATCAAAGTATTTGCCCCGGGCTGAAGAAGGCATCGATACACAAGAAGCAGCCAGAGTAAAGATTATTGGTTGTGATGGGGAGAGTAGAGGAGCTCGGGGCTAAATTCAGCACACCATTAACTAAAAGTGATAGCAGGGGGATCTTTGCGTCAGTTCGGCTGCAAATATTAAATCTAGACCTTGTGATGGTGGGAAGCGCACACCTGAGTAGACTGGACCGAGGGCTTTAATGATACTCCCACCTCTAGACACCGGCACAATGCAATAACACCAAGCTTTAAAACTCCAAAGTAAAAGGTCATTGGATTTTTCTCGTTTGCTATCAAACTGGAGTTGCGTTCTCGTTTGCCGGTATCAACAGATCGAAAGTGTACAGAGCTTCTCTTAATCTTCCAGAGGCTGTTCAACCACACATTAATTCTACTTCCTTATTTGAATTATGGTGCAATCCTTTGGCCCTTTGAGGTGCGCACAAAAAAGAAAGCCATTTATAACCCTTGCGCCTTCAAGCTATATATGGCAGCAAGGATATGGTTAATATTTCAGAATTTTGCAAGTAAGCGTGCATTGTGTTCAGTGATTAAAAAATAAACATTTTGAGATAAATAGACAGATAGGTAGGTAGATAGATAGACAGATAGATAGCTATAGATAGGTAGGTAGATAGATAGATAGATAGACAGATAGATAGCTATAGATAGGTAGGTAGATAGATAGACAGATAGATAGCTATAGATAGGTAGGTAGATAGATAGACAGATAGATAGCTATAGATAGGTAGGTAGATAGATAGACAGATACCTTTTTCTAAAAAAAAAAAGCATAGTTTGCTAACTACAGCATTTTTTTTAACTTTTGGTAACTCTATCAATAGAATTTCAGCCGTTTTACATTTTTAAATTACTTTCACACATTTTTTTTTTTTACTTTTATTAAGTAGAGTCTTAAAAATGATAATTTTAGTATTAGTACATTTAATTTAAATTAAAAAAAGACCTTTCAATTTGCTGTTTAAATCACTAATTCTGTTTTTAATAAAATATTTTCACTTGTCTATCCCAATACTGTTTAGGTTTTGATACTTATAGATGTTCATTGCTCGACAAACCAAGTGTATGGATGTTCTTTTTTTAGTTTTTTTTATTCTTTTAATTATATTTTGGAGTTCTGTTTAAGAATAAAAAATTCCTAATAAAATCTCGCCACAGTAAATATTATGTTCAACCACTGGTATACTGTAAAAATGCCAGACCTATATTTATCTCTCTATTTTCAAATACAATATATCAGTGAATGGCATAAAAAATAAAAGCAACACATTTAGTTTCCTAAAATGTCAATACAGATTACTTAAAAAAAAAAAAAATGCCATTTAGAAGAGGCAATCTGATATTCATGCAATTATTTGGTCTTATCCAATATATACATTAATTTACTGTACTGGTACATTAAAGGACCTACAACAATGTGTATTTTGACTTCCAGGGCTAAATTATTTCCATGGCAAATTTTCTCTATACTTTGTTTTCAATGGTGCAGTGATGCCACAACATGGAAATTACCTCTGAAAAATTATGTTAAGAAAATCAAACACCCTTAATAAAAGCTGTATTTTTAAAACTTGAAGGTGAAAAAAAAAAACAGTTTTCAGGCTGAAATCTTTCTTTGGTATGTCTACTGCTGGTTGTATTTTTGACAAATAAAAATTACGTACAAATGGACACCCCTAAGAAAGGTAGATGCCTAGGTATTCAATGGGCGTTATACGCAAAAATGGCACTTTGATTATTTCAGTTTATTTTGGAAAATGATGCAAAAAGAAACACAAGAAATGAACAGCAATAAATCTCTGTAAGCTCCAAGGAGCAGGGCCCTCCTAACCCTCTTGTATTGAACTGTATCGTTGCTGTATTGTCTCCCATCATATTGTAAAGTGCTGAGCAAACTGTTGGCGCTATATAAAGCCTGTATAATAATAATAAGTAATACTAAAATAATGTATAGAATATATTGAAAAGTTATCCCAAATCAATCAATTAATTGACCTACATTGATTAGGACAAATAGATTAACTATCATTTAAGTATGTTAACTAATGTAATCCATAATCGAAAGAATTGCCAACTAGGAAAGGTTGGACTATGTAGGGGGCAATAATGAGAACATACGACTGTTGGAATGGTTCATTATTGTTTTACAATTTAATGGAAAATTTCCATTTGAGTGGCACCAATCCTTCCCTTCTATACGAAGTAAAGGGAAGGAAAGTACTGATGTACATGCGCAGTGAACATCTGCCACAAAGGAATTTTCTGTGGAGAAGTAGGGTAACATTGGCAGCGATAGAGTAGTATTGGATTTATAAACAGCTTGGCCAACTTTTTTGCAGTGGGGAGTTGAGTGCTCCTTTTCCAAAAAGAAAATGGGATAAAGCTATCATCGTGCCTCTGTCAGCTAAAATAAAATCAAAGTGGATCCTGCAGGTGCATGAACCGTTTGAGGACAGGTAATATTGCATGGGCTGTCCTTACAGGTAAGACTTGTCCATGGCCCCCCTCGGAGGAATCAGAGCTAATTTCTGTTGCCTATCATACCAGTCACATGGTGACACGGTACTTCAGGCATGCTCAAAGTTTGTAATAAACACAAACTTACACTCTGGTCACTATTAGCCAATCACGGTGATCACATGATTAACAATCACACAGTTTGGATCCTTAACCTCTTTGCGTCAGCCGCACGCAAATGAGCAGCCTCCCGGTGTCTGGGCCTTAACACCGAGCGGCCGCACATTTGCGTGCATTTAAGATATACATATATGCTAAGAGAGCGTGCCCTGCGCGCTCCCAGCACACATGTCCGGTACTCACGGAAAGGTTCTCCTCTTTCGATCGGGACCTTTCCCGATCATGTGACCGCCGTGACGGCATATCACGGTGCTCACATAACCTTAAAACCCGTCCCCGCCTCCCGGCTTCTGAAACCCTTCAAGGGCCGGGAGGCGCCTGCGCCAAGGGGTTAAGCTCCCTCCAGGATCCAAGAGTGCTAGCAGCAACCCAATCCCAGGACCGAGGTTCATAAAAAAGAGGGAAAATATGTTGCCATACTAAACTCGCCTTGTTGCCCTGCGAATGCCATGATAGGCGGAACGTGATGATCACGTGATCGGAAATAATGTAGTGGTATAGTGTGATCAGTTTTCCCAAACCTAAAGCTACGTACTAAACCCAAAAGTGTCTTTATTCAGATCTACATTTAAAAATATATTTGCCGAAAAAATGTACAAGGAGGATGTAGAGCTCATGGGTTTGAATGGGTTAAACAATCCTTGGCTTATCACTGAGCGGAGCTGTTCTTTCAGCACCAGCATTGTTATATCCAGCGTTAGCTTCGTTGCTCTAACTGGCGAGCAGATTACCAGAACCGCCAGCTGTCTGACTCAGCCTGGAAGCTACAGTAAGCGACCACAGCGTGCATCACGGTGCAGAATACTAGGGGGCTATTACTGCATAATTACTGCATCATACTAAGGAGGGATATGTCTCGACTATTCTCTTTCTATTGTCTCTGTCCAATATGTCTCTAAGCACAAAATTCTTTAGGGTGAATTCATGTATCTAGATGAATCTATAGATACTTAAGTAGATCACAATGTTCTGTTGCACAGCTTGTCCAATGTCTTACATAAAAAAAAAATAATGAAACAAAACTACATATATGTTCAGGGGCAAAATAATGTGGAAAAGAAATTGTAGTCATCAATACATATATGCATCAGAGGCTTTATAATTTATGGAATGGTTTTTTTTTTAGTTCTTTCCTTCTCTTTTCCTTCATTTTCTGTCTCGGCACACTACCAGCGCTAAGTAGGCGCGCCCACTTTTGCACACAATTTGCAAAATGCAAGCAATTTCTACTGTCAATATTTTGCATATGAAATAAAGATTGTGAAAATTGCAAAAGCAAATTTAATCACAAAAAAATAAAACAAAAACAGCAAATTGTTCCAAATATGCACACATTGGCCAGCCTAGGTGAGTAAATTGTGTATGACTTATAAATATTTGGTCTTGTTGGCAGTCTAGACTGAGTCTGCGAGTTATCAGAAAAACAAAGCTACAAGATACATGTGGTTATAGAAAGAGAACAATACCTACGTACAAGGAGAGTAAAAAAAAAACAAACAAAAAAAAAAAGAAAAGAACGGGCTCAAACCTGTCAGGTGATTAGGTTAACCCTTCCATTGCCAACATTATTGTGAAAGTATACACCCCGAACCTCTGCAATATTCAGAAGGTACACAATGTATTAAGCACACGGTACTATAAAAATAAAGGAGCAACAACTACTTCCAAAGGCTTTATGTATAACATAACCCTCTCACTCTTCCACCAGACTGGCACCTGCAAGAGCCACTACACTGGTAATTATAGTATTATATCACAAAGACAATCACAATCACATCTAGTAAACTAAATAAATCAATAAACTTGAGAGACACCAATAACTCTTTACCAGTACCTAAGTAGAATGATCTGTCAATAAAAACAAACTCGGCAATCAACTCTGTTTTCACTGTAAGTAGTAAATTGAAATTAGTTACCTCTTCTTATCACACCCCCTTGGCTGTTTAGTACCAATCCACACTGCGCCTCCACTGATCCCTTCAAGATAAAATTAATAAAATTATATGAGTAAAAAAGAGACAATTATATATTTAAGTATATATATATATATATATATATATGTATTTATTTTATTGTTATTGCAAATAGTAATAATAATTATAACAGCATTGACAGTGCAATACAATTTCTCAATTATTTTGTTTTTATAGTGATATATTAAATACATTGAAATAAATTGATAATATTAAAATATCGTTACTATCATAATTGTTACTATCATAATTGATAATCTTTATATATTTATATATATATATATATACACACACAAATATAAATATATAAATTATATTACTTCTAATTAAAAGCCACATATCTATGTTATATCTAGGACTATGTATAATAGTAAATCATTAAATAATAGTAACTATAATAATTGCATAATGATGACAGTTATATTTATTTGAACACAAAAATCTATATATTTTGAAAAATATTTCAATCTTTAACTTTAATTATTGGGATGTTGATGAAAATTTCTATAATTACTTATGATAAAATCACAATGGATATAGTACAGTCTAAATTGTGTTTATATTTTTTTTTAGCTATTTCTCTCTATATCCCTATAGAATATATCATACAGGATGCACAGAAAAGAAAAATAATATTAGTTCAATATAATTATACAGGCTAAATTTTATATTTATATAAACTTGCATATATGATTCCTTATAAAATATAGTAGTGATAATATTGGTATATTATTATGATTATTATTATTATTATTAATAATAATATTATTTACTACTACTACTACTACTACTACTACTACTACTACTACTATAATAATAATAATAATAATATTTTTTACTTTCTCTGCAGTTTTGATGATGATGAGATGTATTTTTCAAAATACTTAACTCCAGAGAACACTGTTGAATAGCATATATAGACGGATATTTTATTCTGGTTTGTCCAACAATGATGTTAATTTTCTGAATTTCTAATGTCTATAATTACATATTTTAAAGTTGAAATGCTGAACAGGCCTCTTAGATTCGAGACAAGGGGGAGGAATAAGAAAAGAAGCCAGCTTGGCAAATGGTGGGATAAAGTCAACCAGGTTATGTCACCCCTATTACAGTTTTTACATTTTCTTTCTCTCCTGTGCCTAAAAAGCGACTTGTAAAATCTGCTCAGAAAATTAAACACACGTTTGGGTTCTGCTTTAAAGTGATTATGAAATCGATAGAAGGCAAAATTCTGAGCCCTGTATAAATTACCCCAGTGATGAGAAAAGGTGTGACAGGAGCTTTTGTTGGCCATGGAAAATCTTTTTACGGGGCTCAAAGATGCTTCTAGCGGCATCGCGACTGTTTGCATCTGTTCCGTTGACTTAAGCACCCTGCAAAGTATTGGGGGGCTCACTTAATATTCCACACAGGGAAAATAATTTACATTTGTAGCATTCATTATTTAACATCTTTAAAATAACTCAACCAATTAAAAAAAGCATTTCAGCTAACTAAAAGTAATTGTTTTCTATATAATATTACTAAGTAAAAATATTACAAAATAAAACAAAATATTTGGCAATTCTTAAATAAAAAAAAACAACAAATTATTATTTTTATGTATATTTCAATATTATTTATTCATATTATTACATTTTTAGTTCAAATATTTTTTCAATAAAAGACCCAAGTAAATCCTAAAGATTATTCTTTAATATTAGTTGACAGTTGATGCAAACATAAATATTACTATGCCAAAACAGGACAGCTGGTATATATATATTTTTTTTTTTTACGTACGACCTATGGATTAGTTACTGTTTTTACTAGGTCTTTCTAGTAAAGCGAAACATGCTGTTTGGTCGGATGACATTGCATAAAATGACTAGTTGAATGGCTTTAAGTAGTAAATTGGATCAACTACGGTGCTCTTTTGCTGGGGAATTATCTTTTGTACTGCCTCTTGCAAATGCCCTAATCCGTCTTTTGAAAGATGCCATGCTCGCTGGCTGGCGATGGGGAGAAAATTTGTACAGATAGAGAAAAATCAGCAGCAGACGTGGGCAGTTGTGAAAAGAAGAAATGGCTTTCCTAAGCTGTAGAGGGGTTATTCGCTTTAAAGAGCCTTGAGCGAGAATGTGGAACGTGAGCTAATACAATGATTTACTCGCTTTTACAAGAAAAGTCACGTTTAACTGACTCTCCTTTTACACACCACTAGCTCCTAAAATTACACACCTTCTTTCTATACCCTCATCCTAAACACTTACATTTAAATTTAGATATTATATATTTAGATGTTCATGCCATTATGATAATGATTATTATTCTTGTTATAACTTATTTTTATCTGCTTCCTCTGTAATTAGTACTAGTGTTATTATATTTTTTTTTTGTGCTTTCTTTCTTTTTCTTTTTTTTCTTTCTTTCTTTTTTTTCTTTTTCTTTCCTTCTTTCTTTCTTCCTCTTTTTTTTTCTTTCTTTCTCTTCATAAAAATGAATCAATTTAGAAAATTTTGTTCATGCCATTATGATAATGATTATTATTCTTGTTATAACTTATTTTTATCTGCTTTCTTTCCTCTGTAATTAGTACTAGTTTCTTTCTTTTTTTTCTTTTCTTTCTTTTTTTTCTTTCTTTCTTTTTCTTTCCTTCTTTCTTTCTTCCTCTTTTTTTCTTTCTTTCTCTTCATAAAAATGAATCAATTTAGAAAAGTATATATATATATATATATATATATATATATATTATATATATATATATATATTAGCTATCTATTTATAGATACACAGTTATCAAAACTAGTATGTAACATGCATAATTATAGATCTAGTACAGACTGCACAATGCATTTAGAAGGTGTTTCCTACATTTATTTTAATGATTATTTCTAATTTTTTAGAGCCACTCCAAAATTAGAGAGCACCATAGAAAGGTTTTTTTTTTAATTTTTTTACTTCTTTTTTTTCTGTTATACAGTATAAAGAAATCTTTGTCTAAATATACTGAAAAAATGTACAAGCAGACGTTAATGATCAATCCATTTAAACTACACTCCTTAAAAACTGATAATATCAGTTATTTAGTTATCAAGTAATTATTTTATTCAAATAATTATATAATATAGATGCATAATTATACATGTAATAAATGAAATTTTATATTGTATTTAAAAATATGTTTGCCCTTCTTTTAATTACTATTTACTTGTTTTTTTGCTGCACAGCCCTGATTCCCAGCCACGCCCAGGCTAAGGAGACTATACAATAATGTTTCTGTTTTAGGTGTATGCTATATATTAAATTGAAAACATAAATTTGTGAATATGCTTTACCTGGAAGTCTTCCCCTCCAGTCCCGGCAAGTCCCAGACTAGAGCCTGGCAAAAGCCTTTGATCTGGGTGCATGCCATATTGGGATCCATGGCTCATGAGAGACAGGTCATGGCGCCTATACGCATCTAGACAGCCAAAGTCCCTCCTCTGATCGTCCAGGCAAGAAGACTTGAGTGCCCGGGCATTGTGCAAGTTGATGAAGTCTGTGGGCTCCCCATGGTGGATCTGCTGGTAATATTGCTGTGAATGGTGCAGGGAGTTTAGTGAATAGGCATCTGGGTTGACGGCTGGGTGGCTGTGCTGGAACTCGTAGTGGAAGGACTGGTGGTGCAAAGGGGTATACTGGTGGTTAGCCGAGAAATACGGCGAAGCAAACTCGGTGCCAGTGGTGGAATAAGTCAGAGGAGACGTGGAGGAATAGGCGACAGTGGAGTTGGCTACAGACTCAAGACATCCAAGTTGCATCAAACGGTAACTGTTTGATCCGTCATGACGTATCTGGAAGGAAGGGAGACAAAAAGAGAAGGGAAAAAAATAGGTTTGTCATTTAAAATAGCATGCACCGACAGCAGAGCCACTATTGTGAAGTTAGCTTCTACTCAAAAACATTGTAGGTAGACTTCTACAGCACACACAATAAAAAAAAAAAAATTACAATTGCGTCCAAATCTGCACTAAGCTCCACGTACACTGTACTAAAACTGAGCATGCAAGGCAACCTCCAGTCCCAGAAATAAATGAAAATCCTACATCTCCCCCAAAATAAACACACACCCCACACCAGCATCGCAGCCTTGTCTATCAGGACTTCTGATGTGCTAGCTGATCAGTTGAGCCGTGCAGCATCATGCCCCCTTAGTCTGTGGCTTCACTATGAGGGATTATTTTTGTCCCCCTTTTCGTTATAACAACTGTTGTATTGCAGAATGCCATCTTAGGCGACAGATGTCATAACGAATTTTCTTGCTATCTTTTCTGCAGGATTTTTTTTAAGGAGCACACGTTAGTTCACTGTAACGCTAGCTAGCTTGGATTATGAGGGACAGGAAAAAAAAAAAAACAAACTAGTAAATAAAAGGATAAAAAAAAATACCTCTGAATCGTGGACAAGTCCTGGGAATGAAGTAGACATTTTTCTCTCTTTTTATATAAAGAAAGCAACTTTTCCTATAGGCAAGGTCCCCTCTTGTAGGTCCAAATGTGTATTTTCCAAATTAAAAAAAAAAAAAAGCCAAAGGCTTGCACTGACAGAGTCAAACCTTCTCTCTCCCACTCTCCTTGGAAACCTGTAGGAAAAACTCTCCCCTCTGCTCACAAGTAGCTCCCTGGATCAGATTTTGTACTTGCTGGGTAATTCTTTGGCTGATGTCGTAGGTCCCTTGGCAATATAGAAGTTTTGAAAATTAAGCATCAGCAGTGAGAGAGATGGGAGGACAATAGATAGAAGAGCCTCTTCCCAGGAGACAAGAAATAAATATTGTATCTTCCCCTAATAAGGAACTGTGGGATATTTTCACATTTTTATCCATTTTTTTTCTAATCTTATCGCTTTTACTTTACCTGGGAAAAAAAAAAGGTCTTCTTGGCCGGGGTATTTTATTATACATTTTTCTATTTTTTTTTTTAATTGCTTAGAATAAAAAACTTGCAAATCTACAAACAAATTATACCTTGCCTTGAAAAAAAAAACATAAATCAAACGTAAGAGAAAAAAAACAAATTGAATAAAAATAAAATACAGAACAATTAGAACATTTTTCATTTTTTTTAAATATTTATAAACTTTAAATTTTTTAACTATTCTGAAATTGAGAAATATTATTTTACAAATATTTTTATGACATAAACGGTTATGTTTTTTTTTTTTCAGCTGGTTTTTGCACTAAATAGACCTAGTCTTTTTATTTAAGGATCCATCTCCTTATATGTATCGTATCACAGTTGTTTTATTGGTTATTTTATTGGTTATTTTTCAATGCAGTGTTAAAGCAAACAAGTTGTACAGCAATGGGGATTTTTTCTTATATTGGGTATAATTATTTGTGATTTTCGGAGGGTTAACTAACCGAGGGAAGTCTACCCAGACATGGATATGTGGCATGCGACGGGACGCAAGTTCAGGGAGAGAGACTCTTAGAGCAAGACTAGCTTTTAATTGGGAGTTAATATGCTATTTCTTTCAAGTGTTAACACGAGGAAGGTGTCTTATTATTAAGGGGCCGCAGGCAAACAAAGACTAGACTGTGTTCTTGTGAGTAAAAAGGGTCAGATTTGGGAGGGCTGGCTCACTTGTTCTGGCAGTCTATGGAGCTGTCATTCAGGACTGGTGTTCTTTAGGCTAATGGACAAAGGCACACGCCTAACACTCAGGCAGTTTTTGTGTGAAGTAGACTGAGATGCACTTCACTAGCCCACATAGGGGTCAACAGGCAGCATTATCTACACATTATTAACAGCCTCATCAAACCAATGTGCTCCATTTCAGATAATCAAATAAAACAGGAGGAAAAGAGAAGGGGAGGAGGAGGTTGGATGCCATGGAAGGCGTCACGGTGGGAGGAGGTCCCGAACACTCAACTTGCACAGAAAAATAGAAGAAAATGTCTATTTACAAAATGCAAAGCTGGCATTCGCTAGAAGACACCGTGGATGAATGGAGATGTGTTTTTTTTTTCCTGAAGGGAGAGAAAGCTTTTAGAATGTTTATTAAATTACTTGCAATGGATCTTTGTAAGATGTAACAGTTTAAAGGTGCGTCCTGGAACGCACTACAGAGATTTGCTTTACAGATTGGCTTGTGTTGCAATTTAGGCAAACAATAAAATATTAAATTGAGTATTCCTATCGACCTCCTACCCATCATCGGTTCATGTGTATAGTATGTGTATATTCGTCTGAAACTATTACAGAAGTGACTTGCAAATCAAGGAATTGCTCATTTTTTTATTTTCTTGAATATTTTCGTGTAGAGAATCCAAAAATTCTGAAATTATAATTGTGTGGAATCTATCTATCTATTGCTCATTCTCCCTTCTCCCTCTAAAGATATGAGGCTGGTTTATCGAAACAGGAGAGAAAATGACCATAAAATTCTAGTCAGTGCCCATGGTAGTCAGGATTCAACTTTTATATTTTTGAAATATTAAAAAAAAACATCTATTGACTGCTAAGCTAAGTGGTTATTTTTTTTCCCGGTTTTGATCCAGCAGCCCCTGTCTGATATGTCTAGATTTAATATCTTTCTACCTACTATCTATTTCTCATCTATCTATCTATCTATCTATCTATCTACTTACAGTGTCCATATATTCATTATCTATCTAATAATCTATCTATCTATCTATCTATCTATCTATCTATCTATCTATCTATCTATCTATCTTACCCTACAGTATCTATATTTTCATTATCTATCTAATAATCTATCTATCTATCTATCTATCTATCTATCTATCTATCTATCTTACCCTACAGTATCTATATTTTCATTATCTATTTAATTATCTATCTATGTATCTATGTATCTATGTATCTATCTATCTATCTATCTATCTATCTATCTATAATCTATCTATAGTATATATATATCCATAATTTATCCATGTATGTATTTATTATCGATTATTTATCCATTTATCCATATATTCTATCTATCTATTATCTATTTATCAATATCTATCTGTTTCTATTATCTATCTAATATAATCTATCTATTTATATATCCTCCATGCTCTTTTTATATTTTTGTATTATTTATCTTTCTATATTCTATTTATCTATCTATCTATCTATCTATTTATATATCTATATTTTCATTTTTATCGTTTTTATGTATCCACATTTTTTTTATTATCTATCTATCTATCTATCTATCTATCTATCTATCTATCTATCTATCTATCTATCAATATTTTATATTTTCATTATTTATTTTATAGTTATTTATCTATTTATTATTTCTATCTATCTATCTATCTATCTATCTATCATTATCTATATTTTTTTTTTATCTATCTTTATATATCTATTATTATTATCTATCTATCTATCTATCTATCTATCTATCTATCTATCTCTTATCTACAGTATCCATATATCCATGATCTATTATGACACTGGTTAAGAAAGCTCACAAATAAAGATTCTTTTACTTTATTACATCAGTGTACAGAAAATCTACACCGTAAATGCCTGTACATTCTTAGACCTGGAGGTGTATCAGCTCTTCTTCTAGGTGTTGATCACACAGAATGTAATGATGCCCGGGCTGTTCTTTCTACACAGCTTTCTTTAAGGAACCATGGCAGCCCCATGAAAACCTCCCCTCTAGCTTTACACAGTTGTCATCCATGCCCAGCACAGGCTGATCACATTATCCTCTGTTATGTAATAGAAGGGTAGAGATGGGAACATCTGTTTTCTTGGTCTTAAAAAAAAATAGCTGTGACATTTTACCAGCTTTTCGATTTCTTGCCTCAAAGCACGCATATAACGCAATGTCATAGTCCCTACCTTGTCTTCTATGTATTTCCCTTCTGCTTGTGTACCACAGACTCTTGTTTTGTCTGCACTTTGCATGTAGTAAAAGAAATATTGGAACAGAAGTCAAAAAGATTGACATATTTTACATCCAAAGTTTGCCGGACAGTAAAGAAATTGTTTACAAAGAAATCATTGGCTCGCATTAAAAAAAACTGATGTTTCTGATGTCTATTAGAATTAGGAAACAAAAAAACAACATATATAAAATGATATGGTAAGAATAATGCTTAAATTGCATAATAACAATAATAATAATGATAATATATTGTTAGACTCTTTTTTATTGTTTTCTATATATCTAATATCTATCTATCTATCTATTATCTATCTATCTATTTTTCTATCTATCTATCTTTATATTTTTTTTTTATCTTATATTGTTATATCCATTATCTATTGTTCTATCTATCTATCTATCTATCTATCTATCTATCTATCTATCTATCCATTCATTGTCTACTGTTCTGTCCATATATCTTTACCTTTATCCATAGTATTCATTATCTACCACTCTCTCTATGCAATATTTATTGTTCTATCTTTCTATCTATCATTCTGTCCGTTAACTATCACTCGTTGTATCTATCTATCTATATCTATCTATCTATCTATCTATCTATCTATCTATCCATCCATTATCTGTCATTCCATTTATCTATCTGTATATCATTTTATCCATCTATCTATCTATCTATCTATCTATCTATCTATCTATCTATCCATTATCTGTCATTCCATTTATCTATCTGTATATCATTTTATCCGTCATCCTATATCTATCTTTACTATCTATCTATCTATCATATTTTATCGTTCCATCCATATATCTTTACCTTTATCCATAGTATTCGTTATCTACCACACTTTATTCTATTTATCTATCTATTCATCTATCCACACAGATTTAATATCTATCTATTATCTATCTATTTATTCATCCATCCATATCACAGATGTAATAACAATTTATCTATGATTTTATCTGTGTATCTTTCTATCCATTATTTATCATTCTATCTATCTTTCTATCTCTCATTCTATCCGTTATCTATCTTATTATCTATCTATCTATCTATCTATCTATCTATCTATCTATCTATCTATCTATCATTCAATCCATTTATATTTATCTTTATCCATAACATTCATTATCTATCACTCTTTTTTCTATCTATATATCTATCTGTTCATCTATCAACAGACTAAATACCTATCTATCTATCTATCTATCTATCTATCTATCTATCTATCTATCTATCTATCTATCTAGGCACTGCAAGGCACAGGCAGTCAGCTATTTTAATGGCTGTGGATTAATATATGAATCAACACCAATAAAGATTTCTACAACACGCAGACTGTATTTATCATTCTATCTATCTTTCTATCTCTCATTCTATCCGTTATCTATCTTATTATCTATCTATCTATCTATCTATCTATCTATCTATCTATCATTCAATCCATTTATATTTATCTTTATCCATAACATTCATTATCTATCACTCTTTTTTCTATCTATATATCTATCTGTTCATCTATCAACAGACTAAATACCTATCTATCTATCTATCTATCTATCTATCTATC